AACTCGGTGTAAGAGAATTTTCTGTTTATTTATTTAGATTATCGTTAATATTGCAATTGAAACTGTTCAATTTAGAAATTTGAATTGGAGTTCCTTATAGAATCATAAAAAAACAAATCTTTTGAATATTGAATATTCAATGATCCATGTCTGAAAAACAAAAAAAAACATTTATTATATATATATATATATATATATATATATATATATATATATATATATATATATATATTATATATTGATTTAAAAATATGGTTCCTTCACTACACAGGAATTACCATGTTTTGGAAACAAAAAACTAACAACTTCAAATTCAATTATTTAATTAAATTAAAAGCACTACTTCTGTTTCATTTTCAAGCGAATTTTGGAATAACTTATTTTGAAATTTACTGAGGTTTAAAAGCACATACATTCATAATATTTGTTTCCAAGGATATAGAGAAATCCAATCATTTACAGGGGCCGTATATATTCATATGTCCAGAGTGTCACTCTTGAACCTTGGTGTTATTAGTTACTCATATTCTTCCTATATGACACCTCCCTTTTTGAGATGACATCTCTGGAGTCTATATTTCTTCAGTTTGGGTTCAATATTCAAATGTTCTGTTGCTGTTCTTTTACTGTACCTCCTTGATTCACTAATTCCTGGTGGCATGTGTACGCCAAACATGTCATACAATATTTCCATAGGTACCTCTTTTCGTGGACTTACTAAATAAATGAATCTCCATTTTAACTGATTAACGTGTCGCTTATGTTTCCACCTTTGTCCCTGTACCATGTATGTCATTTTGCCAATCTGTTTTTTAATAACACCATCTTCCCAGAATTCTTTTGTACTTTGGTACATTTAAAAAATCACCAAGTTTAAAATATTCATTTATATTATTTTGGTTCCTTGATGTTCTTGCCTTCCTTTCTGTCAGTAATTTGTTAAATACAGACTTAATCTTCCTGGTGAACATCAGTTCTGCTGGCGGCATTCCAGACATGGTGTTTGGTTTTGGCATTATTCTGAAAATGCTCAGAAATTGTTGTAACATTAACTCATCTGCCTCCTCTCTCTCTGACATTTTTAGTGCTCCTTTTATAAAGTATCAACAAACTGTTTTGCTTGTCCGTTACTTCTTAGGTGATAAGGGGGGGGGGTGTTGTTGTAATGTGTTCTTTTGTTAATGATTTACAGAAACCTCAAATTCACTAGATGTGAATTGTGTGCTGGTGTCTGTAACGATAATGTTGAGTGCCCCGAATCTTGCAGAAATCTGGCTGTGGCAGTTGGTTTTCTACATTTTAAGATGTCTGGCCATTTAGTTTAACTTTCTACCACAGCTAGATAGTATGCTCCATGTAACAGTCCTGTGAAGTCCTTGGTTATTCTGCACCATAGAATATCAGTTTTTGGCCAAGGTTAAAATTTAAAAGTGGTGACTTCGCTGCCAGAGCACAACCTCTGCATAATTTTACTAAATTTTCAATATCTTGGTCGATTCTCGGCCAATACGTATAACACCTCATTAAAGATTTCATCCTTGAAATTCCTGGATGTCCTATGTGAAGATCTTTTAGCATACATTTTTGCAAGGATGCTGTTATCATAATTCTTTCTGCTTACATAAGTATATTATCACATATTGAAAATAAATTGCATCCAGTAATATTTTTATTTTTTCTTTAAATCTCAGTTGTTTCTTCATTTTCATTATAAAGTCGTCTATTTTTCCGCTTTATTTTCTCTAATGTTATGGACAGTTCTTTTGCTGTATTATAAAATGCATTCTTAATTTCATTTTCAGCCCTTATCGCTGCAATTACTGTGTCATCTAGTAGTTCGTGGAATTTTAGTATTAATCTAGATAGTCCATCTGCATGACTCAATTTTTTGGATGGTAGAAACTCCATTTTATAATTGTAGTTTAATAAGATAGTTCCCCAGTGCTGCAGTCTATTTGCTGTATACATGGGAACACCCATTTTTAATCCATAAATGGGCAACAATGGAGGATGATCTGTCTGTAGCGGGAATTGTGTACTATGAATAAACTTGTGAAACTTTTTCATAGCAAATATGATAGCCAATGCTTCCTTTTCAATCTGGCTGTAGTTTTTTTTTTTTTTTCAGCTGTTATTAATGATCTTGAAGCATGAGATATTGGTTTAGTTGTTCCGTCCTCATATTTGTCTAGTATCACCACTCCAATACACGGATCATTTGCATCTGCTTCAACCATAATCTTTAATTTAGGGTCAAAATGAGCTAGTGACAAAGTTAGGACTTCTTTGACTTCTTCGAAAGCACTTTGACATTTATTTGACCAATCCCATTTAATGTCTTTCTTTAGCAAGTTATTCAAAGGTGCTGTTAATTTATTCATGTTTAGTACATACACATGATAGTAATTAGCTAACCCTAAAAATGCTTGCAATTTTGATGCATTTGTTGGGGTGGGCATGTCCTTATTGCACTTGCCCTTGAAGGATCTGGTCATTTTCCATTCACATAAATACTTTGTGTTAGGTATTTCACTCTATTCATAAATAGTTCACAATTTTTTTTTACTGATGTTAAAACCATAGTTTTTAATTCTTTCAAGTGGTAAATATTCACTGAATATCCTGTTAAGATGTTTTTTTTTTTCTATCACCACTTTTGTAATGTATAGGGCTGTTAATAATTAAGTATAACCTGAGACTTCAATGTTAAATAAAACAGTATTTAATTGCAACTGCAAATAAATACTTAATAATAACAAAGAAGTAAAAGTCAACCAAAGATAATCATTTCAGTGAATACTTTGTTAAGAGTGTGGTTTGGCTTAATGTCTGGCAAATTCTAAATCAAAACCCAAATCACACTAATTCAACTGGATAGTTCCACTCAATAGTCACCTCACTCAGTAGCCTGACACTGCTATTTATACACCTGGTGGAAAACATATATTAATAAGTTCAGAGTGTCATGCTTGAACCTCAGTTGTTGGTAGTTACTCATTTTCTTCCTATATACAGTGTGTGTGTCATTGCATGTTTTTTTACCAGAGCTCATATTGCAATTTTCATTGTTATTATTGCTTTTCTAGTGTCATTTTTTATTACTTGTTCCCATATTGTATTCATTTCTATGCTTAGTCGGCTCAGGAGATTTTTGTGCCCTAGCATATGTGCTGAATCTTTAAGTTTACGAATTTTCCAATGGTGTTCTTTGGCTATGATTTCAACCTGATCCCACAGAGGGCAGTGATCTCCCTTTTCTCTCCATATGCGGTCAGCCACACCTGATTTTTCCACTTTCCCCTCATGTTAGAGCTTTTTGGTGTCAGATGGTGGTTTCTTCTATAAATGCAGGGGATGCAGGTTTGAAACCAATTAGAAAGCACGTTTTCTTCATTCAGATGTACAGACAGGTAGATGTAATTCAAACTATTTAAAAAAACAGGGAATCTACTCAAAAACAGATATCCACTAAAATAATATTTGGAGAAATAATGAAGGCAAATATATAGACAACATTAATTTAGTCTGACTCTTTAGAATGTTCCCTGTCTTTGCAAAGCTCTGTGTGCACAACTGAAAAACAATTTTTGTCTCTGATCCAGGGGGTCCTAAACTTTTTTTCTTTCAGTCTCTCATTTTTAAAACAAGACAAAAAGAAAAACAATCTTTAAATGTATGAGGTGGAAAGTGCTGAAATTTCTCAGTATAACAATGAAATCTCTCCAAAATATTACTGATGTTTGGCCATGATCAAATTTTGGGTAAGGTAGTCAAGCCAAGAACTTTTCAAATGACCCTTTGTATAAAAACAAGGCTTCATGTTTTGTTGATTGGAACTTATAACCATGACATTTGTAGTTTATAATGTCTGTTTTATTTGTGTATATATATATATATATATATATATATATATATATATATTTTCTTTTTGACAATTAGTAAATGCCAATGTTTTGTTTCTTCCATTCTTGACTTTGGTTACATGATTAGATTTTTAATTTTAAAATGTATGAAAACAAATGATACATTTATTTCTTGAACAGAGTAACATTCAACAAAATTTTGCATTTTTAAGGAAAAACAAAATGACAAAAATACATTTGGGACAATTTTTGTGTATTAGGAACAGTTTACTAGGGTATGAAATTTTAGTTACTTTGGGCCAATTTTGGGCTGTTAGGAACAATTTAATGTAGGGTATGAAATTTTAGTTATATTGGGCCAATTTTCGATTTTTAGGAACAACTTAATGTAATATAGGGTATGAAATTTTAGTTACATTGGGCCAATTTAATGTAATGTACGGTATGAAATTTTAGTTATATTGGGCCAATTTTCGATTCTTAGGAACAACTTAATGTAATATAGGGTATGAAATTTTAGTTATATTGGGCCAATTTTCGATTCTTAGGAACAACTTAATGTAATATAGGGTATGAAATTTTAGTTATATTGGGCCAATTTTTGGCTGTTCAGAACAATTTAAGTAATTATGTAATATAGGGTATGAAATTTTAGTTACTGTTTGATTTTCTTTTTGTTCTTGTGCAGTTGAAGCATAAGCATACTTTTTATTTCTTAAAACTAATTTCTTATATACACCAATAGTAAAACTGACTAAACAGCACAGTTTTTTTTCGTTTAAATTTAGAAAAAAAATAGATTGTACTGCTATGATACATCCGTTTACTAATACCAATATCCTCATCTTGGTGACTATAGTTACCATGGTGAGGATATTGGTCTGAGTAGATTGGTGTAATAATAAACTCTTTAAACTTCACTAATTCTAAAATGTGAAAGTTTTTTTTCTTTCTCAGAAAGTTGATGCTTTTGGCTCAACATTTTCTTTGTCTCTATTCTGTTGTTTAAAAAGAAATATTTTGGCAGTCTCCATTAAGAGAACAATTGTTTTCCAATCAGGCAATTGTCCTCTGTCCATGTTGCTTGTGTTGTTTGTTGCTGTGCCCATTCATCGGTCAGTGTTTGCTACTTTTCAGCCAAAGTTAGGGATTCAGAACAATTATCAGCCCTTGAAAGAAACAATGAGGACGATGGCTATAGTCATCAGCCCAGGGTAAGACCTCATCCTCCTAGATTTTTGCTGCATGATGCTCTATGCACTTTACTTTGAGGCCCCATCTTTTATATTTAATTGGAGTTAAGGATTTCCAACATAAACTCTCATTATAGTTTGTGTTTTTGGACTATTATCATCATCATCTCTCTTCATCTTGTATTTTTATTTTTTATATTTTTTCTGACATAAATTCTCAGGTTCTTCATCATTATAAACATGAGATTCCTAAATTGATGCAAATCTAAATTAACGGTAAGAATTAGTTTTATTTGTTATTTCAACTATAAATCTCACTCTTTTAGTTGTGTGAATAGTTAGCTGAAGGAAACACATGAATGATCAGATAAGGAAGCTGGAGTTAGATTGGATTTAGATATTTTTATATATTAATCTTCGAAGCTGACAGAAAAGTGCCCATGTTAGACAGGCACTCAGGGTGTGGTGTGTGAGTTCAAGTCTTTCCAGTGGTTAATTATTTCAGATTTCCTCCAAAAATAATAAGTGCTTAATTTATTTTACTTTTTGTTAATTTTATTCTTAATTTTGATCTATTTTGTTATGTTTGTTGAAAAAACCTAAAAAGAATTAACAAGTTGCAAAGAAAATTAATTTTCCTATTGAATTCCAATGAAATTCTTCTCTTCCCCTTTTCCATTGACCAATTTTATATACCAATTCCTGATCACCTGTGACTATTGTCACCCCCATCTTCTTTCAGTTGTGTTGTTTAACTCGCTTCTTTTATGTTCTGTGTATTAATAACAGAAGTTGAATGAAAGAGAAATAAGTGACGAGGATAATAGTCCAAGTAACTGTTCATATATGCTCTTTATTATTTGTCTTCTTTCTTCCAAATCTTTATTTCATCATCAACATCATAATCATCATTGCTACTAATATTACTACTACTACTACTACTACTAATAATAATAATAATATTCAGGTGGTTCCTATGGTATTTAGGTGTCCTTTTTACCAAAGCAATGGTTTGGATTCTAACTGATACACTAACTGAATAAAATGGTTTATCTTTCTATTTTAAACAAACATTTCTTTGTAAATATTCTTTTATGAAGGAATTTTAACATGTCTGTATCGCATTCCTATGTTTAAAAGAAACAAATCTTTCCAGAAAAAATTGATACCTGGAAAATCTTCCTCCCCCAAAAAACAAACTGAGACAATTGGTGTATCACTTTAAATTTATGAAATTCATTTTTAAAATCATTTCACCCCAATCAAGGCAATAAAGCCACTAAGACACAAGGTGTTAGTGAGTGTTAGAGACTATAAGGAAAAAATGCTATTAAGGAGCGAGAACAATAAATGAACAGGAATTAGCAAGACAAATTTACATTTAAATGTGGGAAGCAAGAAGCTAGAACAGTTCCACAAGTGAGAAGTGTGAGAAAAGAAACTCTTAGTATAGAACTTACAGCTACATATAACAATGTCAACTGTAAAATGGTGAGAGTTTGCTACCAATCTAATACTGTGCTTATATTCATGAAGTTTAGTTACCATAGAGGAAATTTCATCAAAATAATTACTGCGAAAGTATTTATAGAAAAGGCACAGGGAAGTTACATTATGGGGTTGGGAAAGTGACTGAAGTTGAGATGCCAGTTCAGGACTGATGATGTTGCAGATTATTCTTTGGATTTTATCAATAATCTCTAAATATTTAGCAGGAGCACCAGAACTAATATGGCAGCAATATTCAATGCATGTAGATTTAAATACTTGTGAAAAAAATTGTCTAGCATAGCACAGGAAACCAAGTTTCCTAGTAATGGATGTAGCAATTGATTCAATTTGTTGTCTATAAATAATTTGTCTATAAATTGAATTGTGTGAAACTTTCAAAGGAACTTAATTATAGAATTCCTACCAGATCTGAATTTCTCATTTGAAAGCTGTTATGTGGGAAACATTGTAAATGTTTTGAAATTTAATTTAATTATATCTTCATTTCTATCATTAATATAGAAAAGGTTTATTTTTTTTGTATAAACTCTTTTTATATTCAACCAAATGCCATGCAATATTATACAACTGATGCTCTGAGTGAGTGAGACTGTGAATCTTGGCAAAGACCATCCTTCTTTAAACCTTGTAAACTGGTGCTACAGAATCACAAAGAAAGAACTGTACCAAATAATAGAAGCAACATCACTTGATGATTTTCCACAGCAACCCCTGTTAATACTGGAATGATTGATAACAGCTACTGGACTTGAGAAACTCATTTTCCTAAAAAAATTGTTTTAAGAGAAAGATTTTATAAATTTCAAACAAAAGCTGGACTTGCATGCGAAATATTTCCTTATAAGGAAATAGTTAGTATTACTGTTAACATGAGAGGGTGGATGTACATTTTTATTGCTTATTTTAGTTATTTATTACTTAAATATCTGAGCTATGTTCTTTGGATAAAAAGAGCCGCTATCTTAAAACAGAAAAACAATTCACCCATTGTTGGTATTTTTTTCGTTTTCTCTGGTTTGTATATTTGGTTATTTGTGAGTGAAGGTAAATAAATCACATGAGTTTATTTGGATAAATATTTTTCTATATTGTTAAATTCTTTGTGATATCTTCAAGCAGATGAAATCTTTTCCTTTAGTTATTAATTAAAAGTTATTAATTTGATGAAATGAAATATTAAGAATGCTTATATATTTATTGAAAATTTGAATTTTTTGAGCTGCATGTTTATAAAATTCATATTTCAATAAGTCTTTTTTTTTCCTCTTTCCAACATTCTCTCTCTATTTAATTTTTTAATCAGGCCTTTCATCCCTTTTACAAAAATAAGTGTGTGTGTGTGCTAACAATTTTTTCATTGCTTTATTCTTGCCTCTGCATTGCCAGATTTGTTGGAGACTAGCACTTAATTCTTTTGCACATTGAAGAATTTTTCTTTTGTTTTCTCTCTTTTTTTGTTTGTAATTTACTTGAATATAAATGAGTTTATTTCTTTCAGTCGATTGCAGTATTAGAATTTTGTGCATTTTTAATTTTCCAATTCTCTGATCTTTTGTCTTTCCCCCCCAGTGTGATTTATCTGCACAGAATAAAGAGAAAAGAATATGGCTAGTTGGTTAATCTTCAAACTTTGGAAATGCTGACATTTGGGAAATGTTCATTGATAAGACTATAAACAACGTATATAAACCATATATAAATATAAAATGCAGATGCAGCCTTGAATTGAAAAATGGGAGAGCCGAGTTCGAATTCCAGTCAAGTTTTTTTACGTTCACTTAAATGCAAATCCATTTGGGTAAGGTAGGAATCCATCTCTTCTCTTCTCTCAGGCAAGGGTAAATAGAAAGACATATTGTGCCCTATGGATGTAGTTGACAATCAGCCTAGGAGAAGGATGACTTTGAATTCAAAATATGAGGAGTGTTGTTTGGAGACCTTGTGGCATATGACATGCACCACTTCACTGTATTTGGTTCTTTTGAAAACTGATTTGTTCTACACAAACCTTCACAACCATAATCAAATCATATGTGTGCTTTGTCTGGCTGTTTTGGTTCAAAGAGCTGGGTTGATGAAATCTCAAATGTCAAAAATGACGGGAGAATCCAGTATAGAATTAAATAAAATGAAATAAGAATGTTAGTGACTAAAATTATATAATTTAATGTATAACATATTTAAGAGACTTTCTGCTAAAAACGTGCTTAATATAGTGATAATAATCATTGAATTAGAAGTAAAAACATTTGTTTGTTAAATAAAATCAAATGAACACAAAAATATTTTTTAAAGATATCGAAAAAATATGTGAAAAATTTGTGCTTTAATAAATTATTCATTTTTTTATAATAATTTAAATAATTTTAAATAGATGTTTATTAACTTTGAGTTCCCTATAAAAACATGGGAGTCAAAAGAAAAAGAATAAACTCAGTCCTCATTAATCTGTGAGATGCTACCCTATGGCATATTCTATGGCCTGAATTTAAATTAGATGAGGAGAATTGTGTTTGGTTAGTCTTCCATGTGTGGAGGGTCCAAATCCCAACCCTCTAGAAAAGTGACATTCAACAACAATCGGTATACACATGCAAACATTATACAAATGAACATTACACATATTCAAACTGAAAATTTCTTTTTTGATATATTTTATTGATTTGTTGAAGGATTGCCTCTTATTGCCGTTCCTCATCTGCAGGTTAAATAGACTGATCTCTCTAGCCTTGGTTGGTAGCCAGTCTAGGAAAACAACTACAGTGAATTTTAAACAGTGAAGAAGCTATTCCATTTGCTTTCCCAAGAAGCTATGACAATTCACAGGTGATAAAGAAATGAAATCTAGAGAGACAGGATCACCGGCATCCTGATGGGAATTAAAAAAGAAATTTTATATATACTTTTCAAATATCCAAGGATTATAGGTGACATCAGAACAAATTTCATTGTTTGCATTTACTTTTTGTTTGCAATTTTTTTTTTAGCCCACATCAGGTTCTGTCAACAATGATAATGTTTAATTTAGAGCTGATTTCTAATTGTTTTGAATAAGAACATTTTTCAACTCACAAATTTTGTGAGGTGGGTTTCATGGTGTTTCTTTGCAAAGTCATTAATAATTTAGTGTGGTGTTTTGGGTTTGAGGTTAAGATGTGGTGATTTGGGTTTGAGGCTAAGATTTGGCTTCTGGAATTTGACGTGCTCTCCAAATGTTTCCAAAGGAAATCTGATACTTTTTCTTCTACTTTTTTTTTTCTTTTTCAGATTTATTCGGCTCCATACACTGACACAGAATTCCTTGGGGACTCTAACCATTCAAGAATTCTACTGAAAGAAATGTCAAATAAAAATCTTCTAATGTAGGGTGGGATAAATGAATGAAGTAGCATTGCTGGGTGGGTGATGCTAGGTGTGTGGGTAAATGTTCTATTAATAGAGACAATTTTTTTTATGGGTCATTCAAGAGTTTCATGAATTTTACAAACTGTTTTATTTTTTTTTATCACTCACCCTGCAAAATATGCCAAGAGATTTTGAAAAGTCAATGTGGAATTTTAACTGGAAATTTTAAACGTATGCTTGAAAGTGTGACTGGAATTAAATGTGATGATTATTGTTGTTTAAATGGAAGCAGTGTTAATATTTTACAGTGGTAAATAATTTTTTTTTTCCTTTGATACAATTATCAACACGTAACACTAGTATCTCCATTTTTGTATTTTATCATGTTTGTCTAATTTGTTTTTTGGGGCGTATTTTCATTGTTAATCCTTGAGTATTCTTGATTCTCTATGTAATGTTATATAATTTAAATGTTGGGTACATAATATGATGATATTTTTAATGGGATTAATTTTATAATCCATTCTGAAACAATAAGAATTATTTACAATTGCTCCAACAATCTTTGCACCAAATTATATGACTATTATAATATTGTCTTTGGATAGCATGTATTTTCAATGAATCTGTTAGAGAAATTGGCCTGATGCTGGAACATAACTTTACCCTTGTGACAACAGTTATTAGAACTATTATTTAATATCATTTTGAAACCAGTTGTGTTAAGGTGAATGAACCTTGAAATTGGCAAACTGTGGTCACTTTCTTGAAATATCTCATTATTTACATTATGTTGCCTTTCAAATTTCTTGTACTTATAATGTAAAGGACATGGGCTTATATAAAGAATTGATTTATATATTATATATATATATATATATATATATATATATATATATATATATATATATATATGATAACGCATACCTACAGCAATACACACGGTTACACATATCATACTCACTTACTCCCTAAGAACCAAATAACACAAACACGAAACAGAGACACATCCCTCACCAGGTCCAATAAAACTGTCAAACTGACCAGAGAATTCAGAGCAGCATGTATCTATCCAGCTCTTATCTCAAATAACAACTTAAAAGAGACTGTTTGACCAACACAAGGAATGTTAAAAGATTCATGTTAAAAAGATAAAAAAAAAAAAAAAAAATGAAAACTACAGACAAAGTTCATTTTCTCCATCAAGACATTCATTTCTGTAGTTTAGTGCTACCAACAAGAGAAATATTTCTCCCGATGATGGCCATTTTGGTGAATCTAGTCATGAATCTAAATGGAATAATAATAAAAAAAACAAAAGAATATTAATCTACAACCCAGTGTGTCTAAAGATTTCAATTTTTTTATTTTCTTATTGTTCAAAAAATAATATATATATATGCTGATCTCATGAATTGTATTTGCAAACTCTGATATCTCATATGAACTCCATTACACTATCATTTTAGTACATTGAACCATGGAAAGATCTTTCTTCTAAGATATCCTGATGATTTTGGGGTTATAATATTTATTGGTGGGAAGCCAATGCTTTATTCTATTATACTTAATTTTGATTCTAGACACCCCGATTTTATATAAAGGCACACAACACAGAGTAGAACTTTAAGATAATTACCCTGAAATCCGACAGTGTAAATTTACCTAAAAAATGTTTACCCAATGAACTTTTTTTCCTATTGTTCACCCACTACAAAGCCCAAGATCCACTCAAGGCAGAGTGTTATTAAATGAAGCCATTGTGGGTACAAGGAGGAAGCAAGAGGTGCAGATAATGAGTATATGTAGGATATATAAAAGTTGACCCTAGACTTGAAGAGGTTAAGATTGTAATGACTGGGGAAGCATCCTACATAACGTCAAAATCTGCTAACAAATGGACAGACTTGAAGCTCACTAAACATAACACGACAATCTGTGTTAGAAAAGATTCGGAATGTAAGGTTGGTATAAAATCAAGGTAATTCTACTAGTAAAAGTACACTTTGTAATCACCAATTGCAAAATAACAAACCACTGTATATATAATATCTCAAGCAGTTGTGATCATGGGGAAATGATGAATTTGGGCATATTGTTGGGTGGGGCGAGGAAGGAGTATTATGTCCTCTTGAATAAAAGGTTCAAAAATGGAATGTAAGTGACAGAAGACTGCATTTTCCATTTTTCACATTTGTACATTTTCAGAAGAATTATTAACATTACAAAGTTTTATTTGAACAATTTAACTTTTACTTTATGTTTTTGATGTTGGCACAATATTTTTGCTTATTAATTCTTTATTTTTTTGAAGGAATAAATTTTTTTCCTCTTAGAGATTTTACCCCTGATGAAGGCTGAAGAATAAATCGGCTGAGAAATTAACAAGAAAAAGAGCATAAAATCATTTGATTATTTGAAGAGAAGTATGAATTGCTTTTTTTGGCATTTTAAGTTCATTCAAATATTTTGAAATTATGATTATGATATTTTGCCAATATGCTAAAAATGAAATTGTAAATTCTATTCTTGTATCACTCAGGGAATAATAGATACAAGAAGCTCTTGAATAAAAACCAAATTGGACAACGTTTTGATATTAAAAGCAACAATGAAAATACTAGTCCAAAGAAATTCTGGAACAACGATGTTTGCACATTGATGTGTGTATGTATGTCTGTACATGCATGTGTGTGTCTGTATGTTTAATGTAGAAAAACATCAAAATCTATGATATGCGGCCAAATGTATATTTTTAATTTGTTTCTAAAAATGTGCTACATGGTTTGCAATTTGAGGAAACAATTTCTTGAAGAATTTTTTAATCCTTAACCTCGTTTCTGTGTATGTGTTATGTGAGAAAAGCTGGTGGGGTAGTCAATGTAAAGAATGATGATGCTGATGTCTGTGTACAGAATGCATGAGTTAATTACTCTCTATTGGGATCAATAATGGATATCAAAACTGCCACTTTTAATCGAACAGATAAACCCAGAAAAAGCGGATTTCCTATTTCCTTATAAAACAATGTCACATTATTAAGACAGATGTGTGTATGCGTCTGTGTCTGTGCATGTGTTTTTAAGATTGTTTGATTGGCTGTTGGTATGGATTTTTAGAATTATTTTTAACAATTCTTTGGCTGAGTGAACTTTTTCAATTGGAATGGTATGATGACCTTCCACTTGATATGTTTCCACATTCTTGAATTAGAAATTATTGTTTTGGCTTTTTTTTTTTTTTTTTACATATATTATTATTTACAACTCAAAATAAACTCACAATCGAACATCGATAATAAACAGCAACAAAAATACTAACTTCAAACAAGGATGGACATTTTAATAATAAAAACAAACATAAAAATAATGTATGTTGGATTAAATTGAGATCTGTTTAAATTGAGCATGTATAAAAGAAGGGTTATGAAAATTCATAGCATTGATTTTGGAATGATTATCACACACACACACACACACACACACACACACACACACACACACACACACAGAGGAGTTTTTAACAAAAAACTAAAAAATAAAAAGCAATTATTTTATCATTTTAATCAAATTTCAGGAATGGAAAAACATTATTTTTAATATTGATTCATTTAATTTTTAAATGATTATTTTTATTTAATATTGTTTACCTAATACAAAATAAAATAATCATATTGAGATTGATAACTATTTTACATTGTTCATCCATCATTGTCAGTATATTAACATTAATACAGAAAATGTTTTTACAAGACAAGGTGAACTGATGGCAGATGATTTTAGAAATACAAGTTGTAGAGATGTGTGTGTGTAACACAGGTGTTTTTAATCTATATTCCCTTCCTTTCCTGTTGTGTTTTGTCACTTATCTGGACTTCATTGCAAGAGAAAAATTATTTCAATTCCTATTTTTATACCATTTGTTCTTTAGCTCTTCTTTTTGATTTTCCCCAAATTTGACTTTAAGAGGGAAGTTGGTGTCTTTTTGTTTTCCCAAAGTTACATGAAGTCTTTTAATACAATCTTTTGTTAAACTCATCTTCACTAAGGAACTAATTCTCATAAAGGAATTGAAGAGGCTCATTTTGCTATGGAAATCCGTCCTGAAATTATCAGCAAATCCTGTGGATCCACTTTGCTGTAACTTTTATGAATGCTATGCTTCCTTGAGCTACATTGTTGCTGCGTTGACAATTCATCATGAAGGATCTTGTAGGATGTGACGTCTTTTCTTAAGACTTTTGTTGTTTCATTGCTGTTGACTTTTGCCCAGTGTTGAAGGCAATGAAAATAACAGCTTCTTAACCCTAGAATAGTAACCATCAATTAAAGTTACACCACTACTAACCATCGGTATATCATACCTGATTTTGAAAATATCAAAAAAAATATCAAATTATTTGAAATATTTTACATGCAGGCACTTCAAACTTTGTACTTTGAGTTAACATTAACAGGAACTGGAAAACTTATTATTTAGGTAAGAAAATCAGGTACTGAAAATTGTAATTAAAATAGGAAAAATTGTGCTGGGTACTATATACCCATGGTTAGTGTTCTAGGGTTAACACTGAAGAGGTGGTTAAAATCTAAATTCAGCTTTGGCTTTGTGTGTTTTTGTATCTTATTTTTATTTATTTTCTACATAGCAAGGTTATAGACAGCTTTTTTAAGGGTCACTAGGAATGTTCCCAAAAGAAAGTTTATTATTAACCTTCTTCATTGGGAGCTCTACACATGTCTAAATAGCATTGCACACAACAAGACATGAGATTAACACCAATGAACCTTTGCTAAATTCAACTGATAAGATTAGTCTGGTTGAATTTTTCTAGCATTTTTTCAATATTTAAATAAGATGTTTTACATTGGGATAAAAAAACCGTCAAGCAAAAATTTGTCTTGATTACAAATGTCAGTGTGACCTGAGAAATCTAAAATAGTTGTGATAAAGAATGCAATCAGTTGAGCAAAAGTAAAATTTCTTCTTCATGCAAATTATTTTTTATTAAAAATTGAGTA